TTTGAATACTTGCACGTCTCATCTGTCTGAAAGAGAGGTTTGATGCAATCGGAATGTCCCAGTTGATCTTTGCTGAAGTTGGTTGATGAAAAATAACCAGTTTGAGTCAGAGAATCTTGGTGAATGGAAAAGTCAAGGCCGAAGCCTGGCACGTACTTAGGGGGTTGCAGAAGCGTTCTAGCTCATGTCTTCATCTTAGAATCTAACCGAACCACCGACTCTGGGCGGGTCACATGGTGTGAGGCCTTTAAGGTCGGAGAAGATCCCCGCCTCTCAAGATGGGCTTGTCCAATGAGAAAGGCCGGTATCCCAAGTGGGAGTTTTGAGATACTGGGGAGTTTTTAATGACCCTTTGTCTCACACAATGGTAATTTGCAAATGGAACTTGAATCTAAATTACTAAAGATTCTCAGGACACTAATATATTGCCTATGTACCAACATATAATATACACGCTCGTTTAGATCATCAGAAGGCAAATTCATAGATACTAAACATGGTAGGATTACATATAGGCAAGATGACAGGAATGGGTTCTATCATAAGCATGCATAAAATAGTCATCTATTATTGCCTTGTTTATCTAAAAGTGCACTTTTCCTTGTTTTAAATCTAGCCAAAAAGCCATGTGTTGACTGTGAAACATTAGACTTTAATTATATGCATTCATGGTGTAATTACTAAATGTCCGTGTCAATCCATGTTAATTTTTACCGCAAATAATGTCACTTTAATTCAGCGCGTATAGCACAGCAAAAATAGATTCTGTGCGGAAACGATCGCAACATGACTGCTGCCGATGCACCGCTCCTGGAGCGCACTCTGATCCGTTAACATGGGTGCGAAAAAAATATGCACCACAGATGGAGTGTGTGAACCTGGCGTTACGTTTGTATGCCCGCCCGGTCTGTTCTGTTCTCGTGCTCCATTTAGGCGCGCTGCATTCTGATTGGTTCGGATAGCATACTGCGGGAGGTTGGGGGCGCGGAATATAGTGCTACAAAGCGATTTAGAAATCGCGCAAGCTCAAATCGCGATTTTATGACGATTTCGATTAATCGCACAGCCCTAGTTATAGGCTATATGACATTAGTCAGACTGCGCTAATGCAACGCGCATCGCTGCGGACGTGTAGCTGAGTATCTCTTCTGCAAGACGACGCGCAAACTGCCGCGAACGAAACTGAAAGTAAGACGCAGACGGTCAACACACAATCATCTTCATTAAAAGTAGTAAGACAAACTTATCTTTCCAGTGCTAATGCCGCGCGCTCTCCTATTGCAGTCTTTGATCTTGAAATGAGCTGATAATTAATCAAATGCAGCGCTTATC